CAATTATATATATATATATATATATATTAGGGTTAGGAAATGAGGCTGGAGGTTGTCTCCGCCTGTGTGTCGTTGGTGTTCCCCCGGTTAGGTGTGTTTCCCTCTTTACCAGGCAGGGGCAGTGGTGGTGGTGGGAGCGAGACAAAAACCCACTGCGAGGGAGGAAACAAGCAAATACACATATTTACGCATACACATATATATGCATGAAAACAAGAAGAGAACTTTATCTGAAGTGAAAATCAAAAAATGAAGCGAAACAGACAAAAAAAAACGGAAAAAAAGAAAACAAAAGACGTTGTGAATGTTTCTTCTTGTTTTTCGATTTTTTCCTCCGTTCGAAAGTCAGCCGCCCACCTGCAGGCGACTAAATCCTGGGGGCTCTGAGTGTTGTACATGTCTGCGCGGTCATTCGGGCCTCGCCCACTCTCCCTTCCTCTTGGAGTGTGTGCCTGTGCGTGTGTGTGTTTTTTTTTGTACTCTTGTTTTATTTACGTTTCATTACCCGACGATATTAAGTCTGCAACTGTGTTTATTTTTGGTGTGGCTTCCTCATTGTTGGTTTGTTTGATTGTTTTGTCTTCACACACACACACACACAACGGCATACACGAACGAGATCTCTGCTCCTCCACCCCGCCCCCCTTGACTCCCTGCTAGCCAAAGCGGCTGAGGAAGGCGCGGGGAAGAGAAGGTGGCGGGAAAAAGTAGAGGTCAGTGAGAGGAAGCATGTGTAAGTTTGCGTTGCCGTTGTTTTCTGTTTTTTTTGTTTTTTTTTTTTTTTCTTTTTCTTACTGCTTACCTCCTTCCCACGCCTCTGCTGCCCGCACACTTCTCTGCACTACCCTCGCTTCGGCCCTTGAAAGGCCCGAAGAATTGGAAGGTCCTGCTCTCCCTCCCTTTCTCCCCCTGTCTATCTCCCTCTGCTGAGGGCTGCTGTTACGTAAAGCGTCGTTTTCCTCCTCCGCTACCTTGTCTCACTCTGCGGCGAGTAGGGTCGGAGACGCAAGACAATCCGCACAACAGAAAAAGTAGAAGAAGGGGGATTTCACTCTCGCTCCTTGGGTATCTGTTAAAGGTACATCATGGGGTGGGCGAGAATCGTTGTTAGGCAGCGGAATCAGCTGCAGTGGCTGCTGCATCGTCACGGTAGGACTAGTAGTAGCTTTAACGTTGTTAGCAGGCGTTTTATCACTATTGGCGACGCATCGAGGTTTGGTGCATCCACCGGCAAAGGCGGTGCGCCCACGCAGTGGCTGTTGTACCCATTTCAGAGGAGGTGGCGCCGCTTTCGCGCACAACGGTTTCCTAGGAAGTGTTTAACCGTGGCCACAAGCACCCTTCTCCTCTTTGTTGGCTACGTTGCGCTCTGCATACTGGTGGAGTGGCGGATGGAGGCGTCTGTGCAGCAGCTATTTCAGCCGCACGAGGAGTACCCGCTGGAGGACTGGTCAGAAGTGGAACCGACGCTGCGCGAGGGTGATGTGGTGTTGCTCATGGGTACCGGCATCACGAGCTGGAAGATCACCACGGCACAGTTTGTGTACAGTCTTATGCGGCCCGCTGCCCTGCGCTTTTCGCACGCGTCGGTGGTGGTGGAGCCGGCTCAGCTGGAGCGTTGGTCGTCACAGTCCTCCGTTCCCACCACCAGCATCTCAGTGGAGGCATCAGAGGGTCACCGGCAGTTGCTCTCATCCGGTACGATTGCCGACATGCTGCAAAGGGAGCGTTCCATGCGGCAGCGGAAACAAAAGCGCGGGGCTATTTTGCTGGAGGCGGTAGATAACCTTGACATCAACGCCCCCGACGTGGATGGAAAGGTGCGTCATGAGTGCGTGCAGCTTGTGGAGGCGAAGCACCGCTTGTTTGGCCGCGAGGGGAAGCGTTGGTGCTACAACCGTGTTGCCGTGAGACGACTGAAGGGGTTTGAGTGGACGCCGCAGCGAAAGCGTCTATTGCGCAGCTTTATCTGCGAAAATGTCGGCCGTCCAATGGACAAGAATCCGCTGATGATTTTGAGCTTCATTCACCCCAAACTGTATGAATGGACGGGAGGGCGTCAGCAGGGGACGGAGATCAGCTGCAGCGAATTAATCGTGGACCTCTACAAGTACTGCGGGGTCATCCAGAAGCGAATGCGGATGGTCCCGGTGAAGGATGGCACAACTAGCACCGACGGTGACGTTGTGTTAAATCCTGACGGCAGCTTCAGCCGCCCTCAGTGGTACTTCAATCGCCCGAGCATACAGACTGCCCCATTTCACTTTGCGGAGGGCATGGAGATTGATGTACTTGACTTTGCGGAGGGTGTTTCACTGGGTCCAGAAGTGCGTATGAGCCTTCCAGGCGGGGAGAAGCAGGCGCTTTGAGTGAGCAGGGGCAGAGTCGTGAATTGGGGTGGGGGGGGGTATTGACCTGCACGCAGAAATCGCAACTTTTTTATACATCGTTACAGTGAAAACGATGCGTTGAGGTGTGTTGTTTGTCCTTCCTTCGTGGCCCTCTGGGCCGGTTTGGCGTGTGCATCAACACTTACATGCGTTTCTGCCGTTTAGCTGCGAGTAGTTTCCCGTGCCCCCCGGGCGCTGTCGGTCCTTCGCGCTTGCCCACAGACCCGCATGGCATGAGGGAATTGTGCACCAGATAAGATAGCCCGTGGGCCGCAAAAGTAAAAAAAACAAGAATGGTAATAAATGAATAAAAACACCGTTTTTTTCTTGTTGTTTGTTTGTTTGTTTTTATTGGTTTCTCTCTTTCTTTCTCGCTGTGAATGCTGTTTTGGCTGGAGGGGCGGGGTGTGTGCGGGGGACGACGTTGCCTGTCGAAGGAGGCGCAGCAGGTTAAAACAGGGGGATGAGTAAAGAATGATTCGACAGGCCAAGTGAAGGGGCGGTGGGGCAGGTGGGGGGGAGGGGTAGGATACCGTTGTCTGGGAATACCATACCTTTGGGCCGCTTGTATAACTGCCGCCGTCATTGCTTGAGACGTGGTGAATCTCAGGGTGGCCGCTTATCTCATTACATATCCCTCCCGCAGGCGCCGAAGGGTCGCAGCTTCAATGAGGCGGGGAAGTTGGGGCGTGAGTGCGCCGAAGCATTGTGCCAATGGCGATGTTGTTGTGTTGACGTGCACCTGTGTGCCATATCCACTGGTACGCACTCACGGATGAACGTGGTTGTGTCTGCACACCGGTTTATGCGGAAGTTGTACGCCGTCTCTTGCAATCTTTCTGGCCTGTCGTTGTTGTTGTTTTTTTTTTCGATGGTTTTAGTTATTCTTCTGCTCTAAAGCGTGCACACGCACACAAGGATCAAAAGGCGTTGTGGTGATGTCTACCATGACGACGCAGGCGTTCAGCCTCAAGACGCGCCAGGCCGTTGATGAGGACGCGCTGCTCACCGAAGAGGACCGTGCCCCCAAGGAGGCTACGAAAGGAGAGGACTGCACGACACGACGACGCGCCTGCAAGAACTGCACCTGCGGGCGGGCTGAGTTGGAGAGGGAAATGCTGGCGAAGGGAGAAACACTGGAGATGCCGGAGATGCCAGCCGGTGGTTGCGGCAACTGCGCGAAGGGAGATGCATTCCGCTGCGCCACGTGCCCGTTTCTTGGCCAGCCGGCGTTTGACAACACGAGCGACGGTAAAGTTAAGCTAAACCTGACAGACGACATCTGACAGGGACAGGGAGTGAACTTGCACACGGGCGAGGGGGCACACACGAATGGTCTGAAAAGCAGGAGAGGGGAAGTTAGTATAAATGCACGGGAAGGCTGGGACGAAGGAGATGTCGGCCACACGGAGAGCAGGACAATGTTATCTGTACGTTTTGGTGGGGGGTGGGCACCTTCATCACCCGCACTGCCCCCACTCCCAACTCCCCACACACACGCACCGTCTCAGTGGCGGCGCCCAGCCTCCGTTCTTCCAGCAGCCAGAGAGAAAGTAGGGAGCGGGCGGTGCGGCCATGCGGGGGTGCCATGGCGCTGACGCCCCAGCGAAGACGAGGGATGTGCTAGTCTCCAACTTACCTTTTGAATCCGCCTCTGATTTTTTATTATTTACGCATATTTGTTTTTATGTGTGTGTGCGTGTGCCTCATGCACAAAGAAAGCTCATCTTCTTGCTGACGTGTGCCCCCTGCCTTCGTATCCCTTTGCGGCCGCGACACCGCAAGGAGAAGCGAACTGTAGCACTTCATGCCGCTACGACGGTTGGCCGCTGCCCATCATTACTCCCACCCGTTACTTCTTCTTTTTCTGCCCCTCCCCTTTCGTCTGCTCTCGGCAGCAGAGTCACACGCAACAATCTAGGGGTCTTCCAGCCGCTGGCAAGGAAGGCGGCGGGGGCGTTAATAAGAATAAAACGAAGGGGAGGAGACATTGCGTTATTTGACTATTCACTTGTCGTTGTCTGCTCGCTTTAAAAAAAAAGGGGGGGAAAAAAGAACGGAAAAAAAACACTATTACTCTTGTCGTCTCTCTTTGTGCCTGAAGCCTAAAAAAAAAAAAAAACAATGCGTCGTGTGCTGCTTTTCCGCAATCGCGTGGACTTCGTGGCAACGCTCATCCAGCAGGGACGACTTGCGGATATGTTGATGCTGCACCATTTCTCGTCGCAGGGGACGCAGGCGGCTCACGCAGGCAACGCAGTTGAAGGAAGCAGCGGCAGCGGGACCAACGTGTCAGTGGCTGGAGACGCACGTCGGGCGTTGTTGGCAAAGAGTGAGGCTGTACGAGCAAAGGCAATGGCACTGCCCTGCATGGGTTGGTTGGAGGACGCCTATGGGGTGGGAGAGTGGTGCGCCCTCTCAGAATCGCAGGACATGGTGCGAGCTGTGGTGAGCGCCAACGACCCCACCCGTGCTACGTTGCGTGGGACGTTCCTTGCATTGGTGCAGGAGGGCCGTTCCCCGGCATCTGTGCGGCTTGCCGCGTCGAAGGAAAGCGGGGAAGCCCTACTTTTGACGGTGCCGTTGGAGCAGTCCGGTGAAAAGGTGCGCAGCAGCATCGTTGGCGGCGGGCTCCGTACCGTGACGCTGAACGAGGCGGAGGCGTCGGTCGTTTCAGACGCCGCTACCGCTGTGGACGCCTTTGCCGCTGAGCAGAACATTATCTCGGCCGCGGTGTGCAGAGGCATCCTCGGCAAACTGGAGGAAATCTGCGCTCTGCATGCCACCCACACGATGCGCTACGATGCCCTGCTAGTCCGCAACCCAGCTGTGCAAAAGCGACTCTCGCAGCTGGTATGCGCTCGCTTCAGTCTAGAGGCGCTGAGTTCGTTTGTCGCTACTGCTGCCGTGGATGAGCCCCTGCCGCTGGTGGAGTCCGTCGCGCTTCGCATACACGCGAAGCACGCGCTCTCCGCAGGGATAAGGCACGCGCGCGACGTCATTCACGGTACAGCGATGCTAAAGGCCAGCCCGCACCGCTCGAAGCCAGAGCGTCTCATAGACTACCCCTACGCGAGGCAGCTGTTTGACGCAGAGCTCGATGTCATTTCGAGTCTCGGAGGTTCCTGCGAGGCGGCGATGCGACGGTCCTTCACACCACTCTTGGCGCACTCGCAGGCGCAAGTGTCCATGGGGGTGCAGAGCTCAATGGCGGCGGTGCTTGTCGGGGGCAGTAGTGTGAGTGTCAACCTGGCCGCTCCGCACGTGAACCTGCGCGTGAGCGCCGCATCTCTGGAGGAGGACATCACCACGCTGCTTCAACGCGTTCAAGAGCAGAAAAAACGCACGGACCCGCTCTTTGTGAAGGCTGTGGCGCAGTACTCGGCGGAGGTCTTTGCAAACACGGCCGTTGTGTACCGAGCCACAGGCTCCCTCACGCGCGAAGACGACGCCGCCCCACGCGATTGGCTGCTCACGCAGGCCTTCTGTGCTGACTCCCGTACGCGTCGTTCGGCGATTCTCCGTGACTGGGAAATGTCGAGTGCGGCGCGAAAAGCCGTCGGCAAAGCGGCTGACCTCAGCGGCTGCACAACGCACCCTGTAGAGCTCGCGAACGCAGAGCCTGTTCGGAAGTCGCAAGCGCCACCAAAAGCTACCGCGAGGCGCGAGGCGCAATAGGCGGGCTAACTCGCGAGGAGAGCAAAAGGGGGAGTAGCGGGGCTGTACAGCCGCTGTGTTCCCGCACAACCCTCTTTGGTGTGAGGAGCGGGCCCAGTGGTTGCTGCCACACTCGATCATTACTAACACTGGCATCACATTTCGAAATAATGCCCTGCATTGTGGGGGGAGAAAAATTAGAGGGAGAGGGGGAGGAGAGAAAAACAAATGAAAAGACTAAGCCTGTGTGTGTGAGAGAGAGAAAGGGAAAGAGAGCGTTAGTTGAGGAAACGGAACTGTTTCTTTCTGAGGGATTTTGTCTTTGCACCTGTGCGTGTGTGCGTGTACGCCTCTGCGGCGGCTGAACGGTTTTGCTTCTTCACCACTGCTGCAGGCAAGGAGGAGGAGAAGGAAGGTGAGAAGGAGGGGGGGGGGGTGAAAGAAAAGTTTCATGTGCGACGCTCAGCGTGAGACACGTGGGCAAACAGCGTCATCATTAGCGTTGTCGTGCTTCAGTGATGATGGCGACAGGCAATACACCGCGGCGGATGAGCTCGCCGCGCAGATCGTTGATTGCGCAAGCCTCCTGACGTGCATGAATACCGAGGATGCTGTCGAGTCGATTCGGCCGCTCTCTCCACGGGGACGTGCCGTGACGGCGTGCGTCTCGTGGCGCCCAGTAGCGGCAGCAGCAGCTCCAGACGATGTGCGGTCCGTGGAGGTGCGATTCAGTTACACTGAGGCCTTTGTATGCCGCACAAAATCCGGCAGTGAACACGTCTACGAGTCGCTGATGGCGTTACTGGTGGCAAACGGTTGTGGGGTTGCTGAGGCTGCATGAAGCGCAACGGGGGCGTCGGAGGTGTTGGTGCCAAACAACAACAAAAAAAAACAACAACTAGTAATAATGCTACACGAGACACGTATGTATCTGTGAGTGTGGGTGCGCGTTGTTGGGATGGGGTGCCCTTAGCGGCCTCTCTGTATTCCCACCGCCGGGCACAATAAGGACAATATCTCCGTTGTGACTGTTGCAGCTGCTTTTTTTTTTCTCTTGTTGTTGCTTCTGCTTCTGCTTCCCTCCCCCCGCGTATGCAGGGAGGTAGGTGTGTAGGTGTCTCCGCGAGGTGTTTTGCAGCGTGCGGCAGATGGTTGCCCTTATTGCGTATGTTATCGTGCTTGGGGTCGCCGCACTTTTGACGTTTCAGTTCTTCGGCGGCAAACGTGGTGGTGGAGCGCCGGGGGACTGCAGCCGCGGTCTTGGCTTCTTCTACCCAGCGGGGAGCCGGGGGCGCAGGCGGCCGTTGGACCCGTTTCTCTTATCCATGGATGCGCCGCAGGCGGAGTTGTTGTCGTTCCTTCAGGAGACGTGCTGCGTGCTTCCCGTGAGGGGGGAGTCGGTTCGCATGCTGCTGGGACCCACAGAATTCTTTGAGGAGCTTCAGAAACGCGTGCGGGCGGCGCGTCGCAGCATCGTCATGTCTGCCCTCTACGTTGGCGACGGCCCACTCGCACGGCAATTCGTCGCGTGTCTCGAAAGCAAAGTTGAGGAGGCAGCGCGTGCGGGGCGACCGTTTGACATTTGCCTCCTCCTCGACCACAACCGCATGAACGACCGCCACAACCTTCGCACGCTGAAGCAGCTGCTCACCCTCGCCCACACCACCAGCGGCGCCACCGGTGTTGACAACCGGGCGCTGGTGCGGGTGCGTCTGTCACTCTTCCAAACGCCGTCGCGTTGGAACCGTCTCTTTGCGCCCTTTGGCCGCGTGAAGGAGGCGCTGGGTGTGCAGCACACGAAGATATTTTGCTTTGACGGCCACGACACCATCTTAACCGGCGCCAACCTCTCTGACGACTACTTCTCCACACGTATGGACCGCTACGTGTTGGTTGAAGACAACGCGCGGGTCGCTGCCTGGTTCTCCGACCTTGTCCAGACGTTGTGTCGCATGTCGTACCGTGTTGTGTGCCGGAATGAGTTTGCCAGTGGCTGCCACGTTAACTCCAACAATGATGGGGGCAACACTCATGAGGATAAGACTAACAGTAATAATAATAATAATAATGGTGGTGGTGGTGGTGGTAGGATTAGCAGCAGCGGTCTCAGGACGAGCAAGCTGGGCGACGGCCCCACGCTGCACAAGAAGAGCGACCTCGTTGTTCTTCCCAACACTGCGGGACTCGATCCATCGTTGCAGAGCGCTGCCTTCAGCGTGCACGCCACGCAGTTGTTAGAGGAGTTTGCCGCCCGAGCCGTTGCGGCCGCGGAGGCCCTGCCGCCGGAGACAGACTGCGACACCTTCCTCTTTCCGACCGTGCAGTGGGCGGGCGCGAATGTCTTCCACGACTCTCTCGTTGTGCAGCAGCTGCTTCACAAGGCCCCGTCGACCACGCGGATTTACCTCACCTCCCCCTACCTCAACCTCTACTCCCAGTTTGTGGACGAGATGCTGGCGAGCGAGACGCGGTACGAGTTCATCACGGCAAGCGTCACTACGAATGGGTGGCGTGGGGCTAAAGGATTTGCGGGCTACATTCCCTACTTTTACCTGCAGCTGGAGCGGGCCTTTTACTATCTGACGCGGGAGTACGGCTGCTCCGACCGGGTGCGAGTGCGGGAGTTTGGTGTCGGTGGATTGACGTTTCACGCGAAGGGCGTGTGGTTTGTGGAGGAGGAGGAGGAGGAGGAGGAGAAGGACGCCGGCTGCGCAGATGCATGTGAGGCCGTGGGGAAAGGCGTAAAGGCGCCGTACCTCGTCGCCTACGGGAGCACGAATTACGGCTACCGCTCCGTGCACAAAGACGTGGAGGCGGAGGTGTTTCTCTTCACTGCGAACAACGCCCTTCGCGAGGCGCTTCGCAACGAACTTTTGTTCCTGCTGCGACAGGTGACGCTCGTGACGGAGGAGCGCTTTGTGCGTGGGGCGCAGGGCAGCTTCCAGCCGGTGGTCTCGCTGCTCGCGCAGATGGGGCAGGATTTTCTCTGAGCGGCGGCGACGCGGTGGTTCTCGTGTTTGTCAAGCGTTTATTGGAATGCACGCAGGCGCCTGGAGCCGCACAGAATAAAACATGAGGCAGACGGCGTTGTGAGCATTGTTGTTTTTTGTGCATGTGTGTTTTGGGGCCGCTTTCTTCTCTTTACCACGCCTTTAACCCCCACCGTCTCCCGCAACCTTACCAGCGAGAAAGGCTGAAGTTGGTAACCGTCAAGGCAAGTGTGTGTATATTATATATATATATATATATATATATACAAAACAAAAGGGAACTATCAAGGCAACTGCAGAGGCGTGGACAGAAGGGTATTAACGAAGGGATAGATAGAGAGAGAGGGAGGGGAGGAGGGCAGTCTTTGGAAGCGCCATTTTCTTTTCTTCGATGCAGGAGGCTGCGCTGGCGGGGAGCGGCTCTGCGGTACCGCAGAAGCACATTGTAGAGAACCCGCAGTTGATGCATGACTTTCGCCATTCCGCGTCCTTTGCTAAAATCATTGTGTATCTTCAGAGATGCTCGGAGGCGGTCGAGGGGACGCCACGGAGCGCGCGGTTAGTGCAAAATCCCGCTGAGTTGCATCCGACCGTTCATTTCTTCCTTGAAACGTTTTTCCCGCACCTCCACAAAATTGTGGACGAGGTGCCGCTGCAGGACATGAGGCAGCAGCGGTTTGGCAATAAGGCGTTTCGCGTCTTTCACCAGCATCTTGAGGCAGATGTGAACACGCTGATGCAGCAGCTGGTGGCGACGTTGCCTGCAACGACGGGTGACGGAAGTGAGGGGCGGAGCTGCCTGGCGGTGGAACTGGCAGAATACGTTAAGGACTCCTTCGGTAACAGCATCCGCATTGACTACGGCACAGGGCACGAACTGCACTTTTTTGTCGTCATGGCGATATGCCTGGAGGAGTGCGGGGACACCGGCGGCACGCTGCACGCGGAGCCGGACACAATACTCCCGCTGTTATTTTCGCCACCAAAGCCAGTGCCGTTGGACGACAGGGACCGGATTCGGCGACTGCGCCAGGGCATGGTGTTCGAGGTGTTCAGCGCGTACCTCACCTTCATGCGGCGGCTGCAGAAGCACTACCACCTGGAGCCGGCCGGGTCGCACGGGGTGTGGGGGCTTGATGACTACCACCACATTCCCTTCATTTTCGGCGCGGCGCAGCTGATCGGGAAGGAGGTGCCCTGTACAACAGACCCCACCAGCGCCGGAAAGGGGTGCGGCGTGATACTGCCCAAACACGTCTGTGAGGAGAACACCGTCCGGCTTCACGCCGATGAATACTTTTACTTTGCGCAGGTTGCATGGGTGCGGGACAACAAGGTGGGACCTTTCTTTGAGCACAGCAGCATGCTATACAACATCAGCGGCGTGGAAACGTGGCGCAAGATATATACAGGCATGATAAAAATGTACGCCGCCGAGGTGCTGGGAAAGTTCAATGTTGTACAGCACTTTCTCTTTGGTACACATTTCCCCTGGCTGGCGGCGGTACCGTGATGAGGGTGTTATTAGTATTATCATAATTACATTTTATGCTGGTTTTGTTGGTATAATAGATATTATATTATTATTTATGTTGTCCTCTCTCTCTCTCTCTAGGAGGG